AAACCATAGACAGAAGAGTGACTCTTTTCCATAGAAGGATTATGCCACTTCTTTTGCTTCGTTTTACCTCTTGTATATCCTTTTAGTATTCCCACTTTCCCAAAATTTTGTGCCTGACTCTGATGCAATTTTTGCCATTTCAGTTAATTTTTATTTCCAGTTATTTGTCCATGTATTATTTCTCATTATTTTGAAATTTATGCAGATGGTCGGCTTCGGCATGCTTTCATTGGCATAGGATTTCGAGAAAGAACAGAAGCGTATGATTTCCAAGCAGCCTTGCATGATCACATGAAGTACGTCCCATATGTACAGTGATTACAATTTTGCCCGTTCATCATTTTCTCCACAACATTTTAGAAGTTTGTTAGGTGATTTTAAATGCATATGCATTAGAGGATGAATTTCCATCATTCAAGCTCATGTACCTTTCTAAATTGTTTTGAAGATATCTGGACAAAAAGAAAACTGCAGAAGAGATGGAGCAAAAATTTCAGCAAACTTCCTTGGTTGATTACAGCTTAAAAGAGGGGGAGACTCTTGTACTACAATTAAAGAACGTTAGTGTATCTTCATTTTATTGTCAACTGTGTCCTGTGACTCATGCTACTTACTGGAGTACTCTGATTGAATTTAATCTCTTGTTGCTGTCAACAGAAAAGCGCTGAAATTGTCAAGTCCAAGGTTTCTGAGAACAACTCACCAGACAAAAAGGCCAACCAAAAAGAGCCCTTGATTTGTATCAAACCACCACCACCTCCCCCCGGACCACTTTCACCGTCTACTGGTCAGAAGTCTCCCACAAACTGCCCCCCAAATCTCAATCTTCTGGGGGATTCTAACCACAAAGCCTCAGAATCAACAGAAGATGATTCAAAAGAATCAATTTCTTCTGGAAATGAAATCACTCAAGATATACCAGATGATGACTTTGGGGATTTTCAGACAGCTAGTTAATATGAAGTATAAACTCTGAGATGAGACATGTTATACTCGAATGCCTGAATATGTATTTTGCCTTTGATGGTTTGGGGTTTATGATGGTTTAGATTTTATTTACAACGAAAATTTAATTGATGTGGTGTATATTGTTACAAACTAACTAATGTGAAGTTCCATAGAAAGCGAAATTGTGCCAATCAGAATGATTTTTATCTTATTGTAGTGTATATTTTTTCGGTCGAAAAGATTATGTGTTCGGTATTACACGAGTAAGATGCTAGATTAGTTGAAATATCTTATTACATGCCTAACAGAATTAGACATAATTCAATCCAACTTTAATCTCCATCTTTTTATTGCTCTTCATAATCCTACCATCTTACCATCTATCGCACAAGGAATCAACCCTACAGGGGGGCGAATAGGACTAATGCAATTCAAGATTTAAAACAGTATGCCTAACAATGGAGAATATAAATGAAGCTCTCCCAATAATGACTGTCGATTAGATTTATAGTGCATAAAAGGAATCTGCCCATTTTTACACATATAACAACTGTTGGATTTGGAAAAACTTTATTTGCATTTTGAATTCTGATTTGGAAATCTGAATTAAGCCAAGAGTGCAGCTGCTTGATTTTGGAAAAACTTGGTCATATTGATTGATTGATATATGTTTTTCCTCATCTTTGAAATCAAGCAAAAAGCCTGTTTGAAATATATGATATGGTTGTACAAGGTGGTCATTCAGAAGGTAACCGTTTATACTGCATTCCCCTCTCCCTTCCTCCCTTAAATTTGGATTCAATAAAAAAATACTAGAAAATCAAATTCCCAACAAATTAAAATATGAAAATTCAGTTTCATGGACTTAAAGTAGCATAAATCAGTGAAGATGCTAAAACAAAAAGTGGAGCTGAAAGTTTAGCAGCACATGAACTTGAAATTTTTGAGTTTTTAATAGGCATGGTTATTTGGCATGATATTTTGTTGAAATTTAACTTAATTAGCCAAGAGTTACAATCTAAAGATATGTGCATTGATGCTGCCATAAAAGAGTTGAAGGTGCTAATTTTTTTTTATGAAAAATTATAGAGAAAATGGGTTTGCATCAGCTATGATTGAAGCTAGAACAATTGCTTATGTTCAAAATTAAAATTATTGAAATCTTAATTGAGATCGACCATGTCACAAGAAAGGCTAAATGGGCTAGCAATCTTATGCATTGAAAAGGATATGCTAGAAAAGCTTGAATTTGAAAGCATAATTGAGGATTTTGCTTCTCAAAATGCAAGAAGAAGATTATTTCAATAATACTTTTTTAGTTGTGATTTTGTTGTTTTTTACCTTTATCCTGTAGGTGATGTTGCTCTTATTTTGCTTTAGCTATTAAGGATGCAAAGAGATTTCAAGTAGGTTGCTTGCTAGCGTTTTGCTTTGGCTATTGAGGATGCAAACAAATTTTTGTTTTGCTTTGGTTGTTAAGGATGCAAAGGAATGTCAAGTAGGTTGCTCCTGTTTTGCTTTGAGTGTTGAAGATGCAAAGAAATTTGAAGTAAGTTGCTGCTATTTTGCTTTGGTTGTTAAGGATGTAATGAAATTTCAAGTAAGTTAAGGAAGGCTGTTAGTATGAAATTGTGTTTGTATTTCCTAGAACTTAAGATTTGGATGTGTCATTTAGCTGTACGATTGAAGAAAAATTGATGTCTCTGATTTCCAGAAACTGCAGGATTAAAATAGCTCAGCAATCCCCAAATTCCAAAATTGTGACTTAACACATACAAGACATTTGATTTGAAGGGTAAGACATAGCATTTCTCATGCATACATGATAAGAACGTTTGTGGCATTTAATATGATTTTATTTTCATGATTTTCTTTGATCTTAAGTCAATAAGAATCCCTTTAGAAGTGCATCTCATTTAGGCATATTTTTCAATATCTTTTGTTTATTCTTTCTTTCTTTTATTATAAAATTCCTACTTGTCTTTCAAGTATTTTGATTGAAGATCACGTTGGTATTTCCTTGTGCGGCAAGGGTAATCTTGCTTTATATTGGAAAGTATCTTTGATTGGCAATCACTTTTTTAATCAGATCAATGTGTCTAAAGGGTTGGGATAGTCTTGGAATTAATTCAAGAATATTAGGAATCTTGATAAAGTGATTGTGAATATCCTTCTTGGAGTACACGTGATTGATTTTATGTCAAGCATTCAATTGTGGAGATTGTGTGTGTGTGTGTTTTTTTTTTTTTTTGGATCAAATAGAAACTTCATTAGATAAACTTCAATGGTACAATCAAAAACATCAACAAGACATCTAAAATACCAATCCCAATAAGGCAACAAACTAACATGCTAAAAACACAAGTAATGCGGACAAAAGCCGCACTGAAACTACTAGCCCACATTACTACAATTAACCATAAGCCCAAACAAAGCCCACAAACCCAACATAACCAAACCTAAAACAACCTATGAGCCTAAACAAACTCTACCACCACCACCTGATGAAGCGCCGTCACGGCCACACCCACCACTGCATCCATAACAAATCTGGGGAAAATATGATTTCCAGTGATCTACTTGCACATAAGAGCGAATAAATAAACAAAAACAACAACTTTGCCAAAGAACAATTGGGTAATTTGCAGCAACCTTCGTCGAAGACAATGTAGAATCAAATTTAGTGGAGATTGTGTTTTGGATGCAGGTTTTCTTCCTTGTGAAGAAAATCACTTAGATAATAAGGCTTTGTCTTCTTTCTTCATGTAGTTTTCACGATCATATTTTTAGTCCATAAAGTTTGGAAAGCTAAGTTTTTATTTGAGATAAATCATTAAGTGTTCCATGTTTACTTGGTGATTTATTAAACACTTTTATCATTTATATTGCATTCATTTGCATTAATTGGTGACTCATACGGTTGAGGGCACCAAGACTGCGGTGACGGTTTTTCTCCGGTGAGCTTGAAATAATCGTGACTAGTATTTCGTTCAACATAAGGAGTGTTGAAAGATCATCTTGTGACAGACATTGAGTTACGAAGAAGTCTGTAAACATTATCTAGAATGTGTCTAGGATAAGTAATTAAGTACTTATTGTAATCATCGTTCTATAATGGATTTGTTTTGACTGAAGAGTCCTGTGGATTTTACCTAGAGGTGGGCTTTTACCACGTAAAATAATAAGTGTGTGAGTACTTGTAATCATCATTCTATAGTGGATTTGTTTTGGACTAATGAGTCTCGTGGATTTTCCTCATAGGTGGGGTTTTACCATGTAAATTAACTCAATGTTCCTTTATTTTATGCTATGCACGTGCTACCGAAGTTTATTATTATTATTGATTTAATATTAAATTGGCCTATTCATCTCCTCTAGGCATTTTTAGTCATCTTACAGGTAATTTCAAAGGCAAAGATGAACTGATCAAGCATGTGGAAGTGTTAGCTTTTAAAAATATAGTTAGAATTTGATAATATTTGTCTTTTAATCTTTACTCAAATTACATGACCATTTTGAAGAAAAAGAATTGATTGAATTATTACAAGTATTTATCTTGCTTATGCATTAAGTTTGAACGTATCAGGCTTAGCCTCAGATTTTGGAATTTTTAATTATTTATCTTGAATGTTAAATTTGCCACCCTAAACTGGGACTATGGTTTTTTTTTTTTTTTTTTTTTTTTTTTTTTTTTTTTTTCAAACTTATGACTAGGGAATCTTGCCTTCATTTTATTTCAAATTTTGAGGGTTGGGTTGAGAGTGTTATCCGAAAGAGTTGGTAACTAAAAACATAACATCTGGCTAATGGTAAAAGTCGATAGATGATTTACATTGAAAACAAAGGATTCTTTGTTTTTAGTCGTCTGCTAGAAACTCGAGGATTCTCCCATCTTGTTTATAACTCAATCGACGATTTAGGTTAAAAACCAAGAATTAGAAAATAATGAGAGAGTTTAAATCCCAGCATATTCAATCAGCTATTCCACTTCACCAAACCAGAATCCAACTACTGAAGGAAATAAACCCGCCAAGAAAAGACAACAAAAACTCTTGTTATAACTCTTTTGTGGTAAAAATCATGTACCAAGTGTCTTAAGTATTCTCCGTTTACATAAGGCTAATTACACTGAATGAATCGTATGCGATACAACAAAACAAAATCATAACACAAGATATAAACCTAGAACTACAAAGTTACAACCCTATCCTTTGGATAGCAAACAATGAAAAATGAGGCAACCAAGAGAGAGAGACTCTGAAGCAGCCTAAAGAATAACATATATTACAGAAGAAAAAGAAAAGAGATGAAAAAACGAATACCTTCTCATCTCCTTGGGGGGTCCAAGATAGCATTCATTTCTATTTGTACAGGGCTTAACGCACTCTGATTGCCAAACCTCTCGGCTTCTCTTGCAATCTGGACATCACAAGGTCTATAGTACTGATACAGAAACTTTACAACAAAGCGAGGAGCGATTGCTGCTATGGTGATTGCAAGCAAACATAACCAAAATGATGCAGTCTTTGCAACTTCAAAAACGGCCCTGTCAAATTATTTTGGAACTGCAAAGATTAGTATACACATGCAAGTATCATACATTATGGATGGAAAATTTCAGTTTGATGCATGTATGAAGCTTCTCATAGTACAACAAACTTGGTTTTGTTGGCAGTCGTAAGTTTCTGACTGGAGATGCCAAATTTTAGTTCAAAGAAAGAAAAAAAACATTGGTGATGGGTATTTCTCAGACATGGTTTCTTCACTCTTTTTTGGAAGAATGACAAAAATTAGCATGTTCAACCACAAGCTGCTGGTTATGAGCTCATTACATACCTCAGTCAGAAGTTCAACACCTATGACTTGACCTCAAAAGTGTACCAAATGGAAATAAGTAGTGCACGTAGTGCGCGAATAAAAACCATGATACCATACTTCTGACAGACAGGTCCCCAGAAGTTAGTCTACCAACAAGTGCTATTGTCTACCAACCCTAAACAATTCTGCCCTAGCTAGAAGAAAATAAACTTGCAATTACTGCCCGCACTTCTTTATGGAACCACTGCTTCAGGTTTCTGAAGCCTCCAAGGGACAGCAGATGGAGTGACTTGAGACTGTTACTAGAAATAATTTAGAGATATAAAGGTAAAATCAATTAACCCACATGTCACTCTACCTAGATCCAATAAGTGGAAATAAAAGAAAAGAAAACCAATCAACCCATGTACTTTGAATAAATAATTTCTGGAAATAATGGTTACTTTGGGAATAAATTGTGGAGGCATGAACTACTACATTTTTATATGAGGTACAGATATTGTGCCTGCAATGTAAGGAAAACTTCCATCGAATTCTTTGTTGAAAATAGTAACCCACCATGAGACAACTAACTTAATATTTAGTTTTGTGGTGCGTTCTTTATTTGCCTCAATATTGTGAGCTGTTTGCACTTGCGCTATTTAAATGAGCCACCGAGTTCAAGAGGCATACTTATCATGAAATGTAATCTTTACATGCATTGTGTGACATGAAATGCAACATAAATGCTTGCCATTGCATCTCATAGGGTGCGATAGTAGTATAAATGCAATTATGCTGGTGAAAAAAAAAGAGTATATAAATCTGATACTACTAAATTAGAGAGCATACCAGTAGCCAACGAGTGAAGGTAAAGCATCAATGACAATGACACAAATCCAAGTCGCAATTATAGATCCCCAAATGGCTGCATGTGTAATCCACGTCCACCGGATGACATCCATAGCCAAGTGCAAATTAACCAAAATTACCACTGAAAGTGTCCAAAGATCTCCAATACTTGATGTATCAATGGTGCTGCCCCAATATGCAAAGAGAGGGATAAAGAAGACGGCCAGACTTTGCCAAAATGTGTCAACCATTGTTAGCCAAAATAGTTTTGAGTTGTAGCATTCTTGTCTCTGACCAGCTCCATATAGCTGAGGATATGTCAGAAGGGTCCTTCTACTTAGGTCCTTGTCAAGAATCCCAACAACAATTGTGGGTACTGCAGTGTAGATTATAGAATACAACATGCTGCTCCATTCAGTGATCGCAGTTGTCAAAGAAAAAGAAGTAAAGAGCACATACCTACAGAAAGCACATGAAATTTAATCAGCTAAATGGATAAGCAAGGATTCATAATAATTCTTCTTTCCTTCACTTTCCATGTAAACTAAAACCTATTATAACTCGCATCAAGATTCAACATCAATTATAACACATGACAATCTGGACACAACGACCTAGGTTTGACACAAATAGATTTAAATCTGACTATTTTCAACCTCGTAGCTTCAAGTTCAAAAGTCATATCAGATTCATAACCAGAAATTAGCTTACGGCTTTTAAAAATGGAACTAGACAACTTTTGGCCCTTAATGACCGTGACTCCATATCTACATAATCATGAGCAATCTTCTGTCTAGTATTTTGTTTTCTTTTGATTTATAACTTCAAAAAGAAAAACCAACGCATCTCAAGACCTTTTCAGGCTGGAGGAAAAGAACTTAAGTCTGCACAACAACCACTGACAGTGACCTTGGTGGCATGCATGAACTGAAAATTTATCTGATAAAGAATTACTCACCAAAATAAAATAAGCACAAACACTGCATTCCTGTAAAAATTGTATAATATCATATAACCCATTCGCTGGTAATTCCAATGTCCATGTACCAATAAAAGGGGAACTAAGAATCTGAACTGCCCCATTGCAAAATCTGAAGCCATTACAGCTTGTCGACCTTCTTGGCCACTGATGCCAACTCCCACATCAGCCATTTGGATCATGGAAACATCATTAGCACCTATCAATATTCCAAAAAAAATTCTACCATCAACACGATTTCCCAATGAGACTGGGAATAAGATCTTGATTTTGGTGTTGGAAGTATAAGATATTTATTTAAGTGAAATCAATAGAAGAATAATTACCATCCCCAATTGCAAGTGTCATATCAGCAGTCCTGTTCTTCACAAGGGCAATAATTCCAGCTTTTTGCAATGGAGCCACTCGGCAACAAAGCACCACAGAACAGTTACTGGCTAAGTCAAAGAGCTGCAATATGAAATAAGTTTGATCAGCATATAAGACATCACTCAGATCAAAACAAGCATACAAGACATCATCAAGAAGTTTAGAAAACTAAACAGCAAGGTCTAGGAGCAATTACCTTTATCTCAAGTTCACTATCAAGAATATAAACAAGGCTGGTACCATCAATAATTAAAGCTACTGGAGTCACACCATCTCCAGAACTTCCTCTGGCGGTGTGTGTATCCCCAGAAAACATCGTAAGCTTCTTAGACATGAGTACAGCATCCTCTAAACTCCTTCGACATGAATCCTTAGAGCTGCTGTTAATTATAATCTGAGTCATCTTTCTTGTTAGAAGCTTTGATGAGTAGCCAATGGATATGGCTGTTTCTTGCTTATCCCCTGTCAAAACCCAGACCTGAATCCCTGCTGTTCTTATAGACTCTATGGCTTCAGGCACCCCCAGTTGTAGTTTATCCTCAATACCAGAGGCACCTAGTATGATGAGATTGTTCTCTATGTTGCCAGCAACCTTGCGAAGTAGAGCAGCCCGGCCAATTAACGCAGTACTTGCTGCCTCAAAAGACGAATGCCACTGCTCGAATTCTGAAGCACTCAGTTCTCTCATCCCAACAACAAGCGTTCTCAAACCCAGAGAGGAGTACGCATGAATATGGGCTTCTGTTGCTCGTATTATGTCCAAGTTTAATCTTCTGTCTATGACACTGAACATGGTAGTGTCAGCACCTTTTACAAAGACTTTGAAGGTCTTATCAGGGCAACCTAATATAACCGACATTCTCTTCCGGTCACTATCAAATTCATGCAAACCCAAAACACTGAACCTGCACTGCCCATGAGTGGGAAATTATGAATGAGATAACTAAGGTCTTTACTTCTCAAAAGGCGGTTCAGTATTAATTATCATACTGTAATCATAAGGTTAGACAAGCATGCTCATGCAATGCCAAAATTATCTATTTATAGATTAATGTATTTATATTGATGAATAAGCGAGTGTCAAATTACCTTTGCCTTTCTCCTTGGATATCAATAACTATATGACCAGAGGTTCGTTCAATAAGCATAAAACCGTAGGCAGCAGCAGCATAAACCAACGCTTGTTCATCTGGAGACTCCCCTTGGTAATCTACTAATTTCTCATTTGGATCCGACGTATCTATAACAAGAGGCACAATAGTATTACAAGCTGCCAATGCAAGGAAGAACTCATGCACATGTTTGCCTTCATTTGTGTCCACTCCACTTCTTAGTAATTGTAGAAGCAGTGGGTCAGCCTTCACCTTCATCTTTGGCCTCAAAATCTTCCCATCCACTGATACCAAACAAGAGAAGTAAGAAATTGGAAATTACTAAAACAATAGAAAGTTTTTTTTTTCTTGAAACCCTAAACCCTAAACAATAGAAAGTATTATTCAGAGGACAGTATAATCAAAAGCACAGATTTATTACCTTGAACAGAGTACCCCACTTGGTCCTTTCCCGAATTGCTTGTCGCATCATTATAATCTACTCCCCAAATGCTTGCGCATTGAAATTCCATTTTATTCTCGGTAAGCGTACCAGTTTTGTCTGAGAATACATACTTAATTTGTCCTAAATCTTCATTGATATTCAAAGCTCTGCACTGAAATCTTGCATTAGAGGCCTCATCATACATTTGAGTATCACGGATCATGAAGTATGCTTGACCCACCCGGACAAGCTCCATAGAAATGTACAAAGAGATGGGGATCATGATCTGGAATACAATGACGGACATTAGGAATGTGAAAAGAATCTCTAAACCCCATCCATAGTACTTATAATTGTCCACTTTCCCCTCAGAGTAGTCCTTCTTCCTGTAGAAGAGTATGTCATCCAACTTATCATTGTGGCGTCTCAACCAAACAGCAGCACACAGAGACACAACTGTACACAAAGCAACAAGAAACCCCGACAGTATGATGATCTCCGAGTTCATACGGGTCTCGAGACGACTCCTCTTGGATGGGGCTCCGGAGCTATTCAGCATAACTTTGGTCTCACGACCAGCATAAACAGCAACCCCGAGGACCCAACGAGTATTCTTGAGCTCACAGCCTCGAAGTACAATGTTGGAGGGTCCTAATGACAGTCTCTTGCCATCAATTTCCATGAATCCGTGAAAACCATATATATTTCTATTGGGGTTTTCACACTTAATCAACCCGGTAATCTTCTCCTTTTCAGGCAACCTGGAGAGAGTTTCTTGTTTTGCATACCGGGTCTTCAAATTTGATTCCCCATCTAAATTGATAGTCTGCACATAAGCAACCCCAGTTGGGTCACTCGTCGAGAGCAGTACCATATCACAAGGAATAGCTTCACCTGCTTCAATTTTGATGATTTCACCAACTCGGATATCCTTCCACTTTTTTAATTGAAACTGATTATTAACCAAAACTGATGCCAACCGATTGTTCTCAATTCGGTCAGACCTATGCCGCCTATAGTCCTCATAGGCATCCTTAACTGCAGTAACGAGCAAGACAAATGACAGTGGCAAAATGGAAACTCCCCGGCCAAAAACCGCCAGCTGGGGGAGCTGATTGAGCACAGCAATCACAAGAAAATATACGTATGCTACCCTATGAAATTGTTCAAACAAATTTCTAGGCAAAAAAGTGATAATTGAGTACTTTGCCGTCCTTATTGAATTCCCAGAAAACTCAAACCTCTCGTGAGTCTTACCAAGATCATCTATATAAATGTTCCTTACATCCTCTTCATTCATCTCCTTTTGGGACATGCTGAACGCTTCCGAATCAGCTCCTCTCGATCCATACCGTACAGGCTTTGATCCGACATCACCAAAACTCACTTCCCGGACAGAATTCGTGCCAGAAGCCCTGGAATGAATCGAAGAAATGCTTCTCTGTGAGGAAGAATTGAAGGCGGGTTCAATGTTGAGGGAATTCTCAGCTGGGTTTTTAGAATCCATCCCGGAAAACGATCCAGAGTGACCTGAACTGGGATTTACAAAATCAGAAAAGACAGGTAAAGTAGGGAGCTCTTGCGTATTTGGGGTTCTTGGAGATGGGATCAAAAGAGGCCGCTTTGATGTCATGATCTGAAGAAGATCAGATCAGAGGCCTCTTGAACAGCATTATTCAGTCAACAATCATGAAATTCAAGAAATACCCAGATGCCAAATCCAATCAGAATCACAATATATTACAACAACAGCAACCAAATCGAGAAAACAAAACAAACCCAGAAATCAGTACAATAGATATGTGCAAGAACAGGAACCCAACTCACTAGTCAGCTAGATATACAGATATTGTACATGCAAAACTTGAGAGTGAGAGTCAGATGAGCTTTGGTTGAGCTTACTCGCTTGCAGACCTCGGCATTTTACACGTAGAGGTGGATGGTCATGGTGTTATAGCTCTGCTTCAATGGAGGTTGAAGAAGAAGCGTGTGATACAATTTGAAAGAGACTAAAGAATTGTAAAAGGTCAAAGGCATGTTAAGCATTATAGAGTTAGGGGAAGGGCGGCTATTACAATAAATGAGGAAGAAGTCGTATTGGGTGGCGACAGCGAACATATCAAATTCAAAAATGTTGGTAAAGTCTTTGTTCTTCCAGAGAGAGAGAGAGAGAGAGAGCAAAGCCAAGGACAAAGACAAGAGGAAGATAGAGAGAGATTGTTAATGATGCTCTTTATTTTCAAATGTTCTAGAAGGACTGCTATGGATTATTAATTTAATCTATTGCTTAAATCAATATTGGGTGTCTGAAATTGACCGGATGATCTTTTATTTCTTATTAGACGTATTGAATATGAGAGAGAGAGAGAGAGAGAGAGAGAGAGAGAGAGTTCTCACTATTTCGTTCATGATCATGAATCAGAATCTAAATCTGGTGTAATTAATAAGATACAGATATATTCAATAAAGATTTTAATATATTGTAATTACAATATTATAATGCAACGGATTTCAGCATGATTTGTAATTACAAGATTTTAATATATTGAAATGACATAATTTTACTTATGATTTTAATAGATTGCAATTTGACTTAGGAATTTTTTGTATTCTCCAATATAAATTTGCCCATTGTAGATTAGATTCGGGTTAGTCACGTTCGCCTAACCCCATGACCACTCCGAGTTTTGTCAAGACTTGGACCAAAAATTGTGGGGTGAAAAAACACACTTTTTTTTAAGCTTCTTATGGCATAATCTCGTATTTGGTTTGCTTGTAGTTTTTTGAGCAACTGATACTTTCGGACATGTACTCCTCCTTTGTACTTCACCTTCATCTTTTCTCATATTTTTCCTTTTTCTCTCTTTCTTCCTCGTTTTCTCTTTTTTCTTTTCTTTCCTTTTTCCTTCTCTTCTTCTTCCATCATTTGTTTGTTTGTTTTTTCTTATTTGGCTTTGGTCAATTATTGACATGCCCTTCAATGGAGGTAATGTGTTTGTTGAGGCCCAAAAATCCAAGGAGCTAGGCCTAGATTTATTCTCGACCCAATACGGATAATTGAATATAAGGGGAGCCCCTTCGAGACAAAAGAGAATTTGTAGGACACACCAATGCGAGACATGGGCCACATATTATGCCAAGCAAGCATGCAAAAAAGGGCCAAGAGCATACTAATTTTACAAAATCACGCTCACCTACCTATTCGGTGTTACTTGGCCCGATTATAGCCTATCGCGGTACAATAAAACCCAGGCACAAGCACGTTAAGTAAATGCCATGCAAAGGACCACTATTCTAAAATCAAGCTATATCACAAGTTTAAGTGGGCCTAAGCCACAAATTATCTGGGGCTTGCTGAGAAGGTTGTGGTATGAATGGGAACAAGCGATCACGAGGCCCATTAAGGGTTCAAGAAATGAAAGTTTTAAGCCACTTAGGGGCGTTAAAACTCAAGCCCGTTCCTAGAACCCAAATACATGGGTTAGCATGAGAGAAAAGGGAAAATGGTCCAATGCCTTAGGAGGACACTTAGGGCTCATTTGGGAGTGCTTCTTCTCAAAACATTTATGCCAGTAGCGCTTATGCCAGTAGCGTTTATGACATAAGCCCTTCTACAAAGAAGCAGTTTGTTGTTTGGATGTCACATTTAAAAGCGCTTTTATACTATATAAAAGCCCTTTTGATATTTTGTTGAGTATTTGGCTAACATAGTAAAACCGCTTTTAAAAGTACTTAAAAAAAATATAAAGAATCTCAAAATATTATAATAAACCTAGGAAATATATATATATATATATATATATATATAAAGGGTATTTTAGCATTAAAAAAAATTAAATATGGGTATTTTCGGCATTTTAAAAGTTTCATTAAAGGGAGCTAAGTGCTTCCCTTGTTTTTGTCTTGCAACGCTTTTAAGAAGAAGCACTTCTCAAGTGCTTCTTCCAAAACCACTCCAAGGGCTTTTGGATCTCACCCAAAGCGCTTTTGCAATTTTTGCCAAACACCATTTTTAAAAGACAGAAGTGCTTTCATCCATTTAAAAGTGCTTTTCGCTGCTCCAAAAGCACTCCCAAACGAGCCCTTAGTAGCCTGCCATAACACTTAGACTAGCCCACGTCAATAGAATGCCCAAAATTAATAAAGTTATTTCCAGCGGCTTGACGAAAACCTATTAAACGCTGGAAATAATGGGCTAATAACCTTATGTCGTGCATACAAGCCCAGCTGAACAACTTATAAAAATCGGGCACCAAGTTTCACCCATGTTAAGAACTCCAAGAACAGTCAACAAATGAGCCATGGCAGAAACCGAAGGAAATCTATGAAGGTAGGAAGAATATCCATCAGACAAAAAGCTCTACCTATCTTCTTTTCCATTACAAGCTTCATTTTGAAAACCAAGAGGGAAAGCGGGTGGTGCCTCACCCTCATGGGGAGGTCTAGCTGCGTCAAACCCTTGGAACCACAAAGGGCTCCTTACCCAGGGACCTTGGATAAGAGAATTTCACCAAATTAGATTAAGTTGGAAGAAACAATGAAAAAGGGAGAAAAAAGTTAGATGAAATTAGGATTCTTTTAGCCTATAAAAGGGAGCTTCTCCTACCCAGCAAAGGCATCCATCCAGAGCCTGACCAAGCTTTGTCAAGCATCTGAGAATTTACTCAAGCCACCCAATCTTCTTCTTCATTTGTTTTCTTCTTTCCTTAAGATAGAAATCGTTCTAATCTTCCCCTGTCCCACTTCAAACCTTCGTTCTCTGTAAGAAATTCATGCTTCTCGCTCTCTTTCAAATTGCTAAACTTGTGAAAGCTTAACTCCCATGCCACAAGTTCCTCAAGCTAAGCCATTAATTGATTTATCATGTTTATTTGGCTATTGGTGAAAAGAACCTAAGAGTGTTTTTCAAAAGTTTCATCAGACTTTTCAAAAACTCTTTTGAGAGCTTGGTTTTCAAACTCAGACACTTGGGGAATTTTGTTTCTTTTCCTTCTTACGGCAGCTCAAGCACATTCATCAGGGTGCTGGAACAAAAAGACCCCCTACAGTGTTATACATATAGTGGCTTATTCTTCTTTCAATATTGTCATCTCTGCTAACTCTCTGGATCAACTCCGCCGTAGCACGATATTGTCCGCTTTGGGGCCCCCTCTCTGCCCTAAAGGTTTTGTTTTTGGGAGCTCACGAGCAACTTCCCAGTGGGTCACCCATCTTGAGATTGCTCTAGCCCTAACTCGCTTAACTTCAGAGTTCCCATGACTTCGAAGTCAGCAATGTCACACCCCAAATTTTTTTTTTTTTAGGAATGTGAGGTAAAAGAAAAATTAAAACTAAAAATTTAAATATCAAGAAACATGAAAATTGAACATAAACTTTTATTTAAGTCAAAGTAATTTACATTGTACTATTACAAGCAAAATAACAAGAAAGTAACAAACTTTCAACATAACACTCAAAACTATCCACAACTCGTTCTTCTTGTTTCCTTAGCAAAAACTAAACTTCATATTCAAAGCCTGCAATAGATTCAATAAGGGGTGAGCATTACATGCTCAGTAGGGGTCCTATGTCTTATGTGATTAATGAGATTTATAATGTTCAATTTATGCAATACATGAATGAACTTCATTTCTACCCAACCTGTTAATCTATATAATAGGGCAAGCAAATCAGCATGTCCCATACCATGCATTTTACCACTGTGATTCCGAATGCCCCATTATATAAACTAACACCCATTTCAATCATCCCATAATTCCCCTTTTGCTAGTCATCTTGTCTACACCATTGATCTCCAAGTCCAAATCACCCATTCGACAATTATACCGCCGATTTCTTAATCTACTGTGCACACGGGCTCGCTTGAACTTGGTCCCTACAATGGTTAGACTCAACTACACAAAAGATACTTCCCATTATCCTCTTTTCCATAATTTCTTTATGAACCCAAAAATTCCAACCACCACCAACAACATATGAATATGTCAAAATTAATCAAATTATAATGATAATTGACAACATATATATATCCAATATCAAGGATAACAATCAAACAATATAACCAAGCATAATATAGGATTTACAATAATAATTAAAATAATATTACCAAGCATAATATAGTATTTGCAATATTTAATTAAATCAATGTATGCAAAATTTCCCCAAGAAAAACCCCTACCTCAAATCCAAAGCTATCTCCCAGTTGAGCTTTTCCAAAATCTTAACACACTTAGTTTTCACTCTCGAATTTTTAAGAAACTAACACAACTTTGAAGAACCTATGATTCAATAACTATTAGTTAGAACTATATATAGTAGGTTAGAGTCGGTAAAGGAAATATAGATGAAGCTTAACATTATGCCACCTAACTAACCTAGGGATCTCCAGACTACATCCTAGGATTTATAGACTATATGGGTGGCTTGAAGGTAAAACTGCCACCCCATTTAGTCTTAGGTGTTGGCTTCCGGAGAGTGCTTAGTGAGCACTTGCCAATTACATTTATATATATAAGAATATCTATTGTTCTTACACCTCATACCAAAACATACCACCTCATGCTTCAATTGGTTTTTGAAGACTCCCTAATGCAACACGTCACTTAAGAGAAAGCTTAGTAAGCACCAATACCTTTCTAAAAGCTTTTGTGTGTATAGAATAAATATTAAATGAATTGCTATAGTTAAAGTCATACAATGAGGTTTGATAGGCTATAGCTAGATTCACATAGCTTACCATACAACTAACTAAAATATATATAGTTTTGAAAACTAATAATTATAAATAATTAATTTTATGAAATATTAATATACATATTTAAAAATATGGGGTTTCACAAGTAAGCTCCCAAAAGGCCTCGTGCTAGATAGAGGAGGGCATGTACATATAAGGTGCATCACCCCCTCTCCGTTGGTCGATGTGGGATGTTACAACCACCATAATCTTCTCATCCTCTATCCACTTCACTTGAAATTCCACAACAACTCTCACTGCAATATTTAGAATCTGTTCAACAAGTTTTTCATTCATAACTTGGAGGTCTGGGCAGCCAGATCCCAACTTTGTTGGTCTTTGTCCTTCAATACGATGACTCCTATGCCCCCAAAGGAGTTAGTTTGCTGGGCTAGGTGATTTGACGTGCTTCCAATCTGAAGACATACATTTGTTTTTTTATGCCTAGTCTGGTGTTGTTTTTTCAGTTATCTGCTCTGGTGTGTTCTTGGTTCTTTTATTGGTTCTTGCTGGGGGCAGTATGTGGGTTATAAGAATCAGGCATGTAAGGGTGAGATTTGTTATGAGATTTGGTATTTATATTACTCACTTAAAAGTCTCACACAATATACCACTTAATGAAATACTTTAAAATCGATACGTTTTTGAATACCACAGTACTTTTATTGACTACTTAAAAATCCTAATTGAATACCAACGTACTTTTATTCATTACTTAAAAATCCTAATTGAATACCAATGGACTTTTAAGCTTCAAAACAATCTATTAAAATCTCAATTGAATACACCCCCCTTAGAGTGTTGCTAAACGAATCCTAAAATTAACTTAGTACACCCTATGATCTAAGTACACCCTAATATTTTAATAAAAATGCAAAATTAACTAAGTACACCCTATGTAACTACCAAAAATATCCTTCGTACACCTTAATACACTATCACACAAAGTAAAGAAACAAAATCGAAAGCCTTTGGAAAGAAAAAATAGAAACATATCCCACCAATATAGTCGGTTCCTCCCGCAACCACAAAGTAAAAGAAACCAAATGCCAAAGTGTTTCATTCAGCTAATAGCTTGTATTCCTCAAACGCCAAAGTCTTACATGCACAAAAACCACAAAATTAACTGAACCAAACAAAATATCACCTCAATTGCAACCATAGCCACGTCTCTAGAAAATCATCTTCATGTTTCTTGTACAACATCATCAGTATCCTTGTCTTTATTTTCAATATGTTGCCAACCATCACCTACAATAAGGAATCGTGGAGGCAAGACAATAATTCAAGTTTAGTAGATAAATAGAACAGAGAAATAGCCTCTTACAAGTTTCAAGGCATGACAATAATTCAACGCCAAAATCAATTCAAGTTCAACGTAGGATCTTCTAACATTCAATGACACCTCGTTGCCCCCTCCGCCAGTGCTCGCTATTTGATTATGGTTGAATATGTGGCAAGTATGGTGTACTTATTAAAATTATATTTATTTCACAGTTCAATATATCTTTTTTGTTCATTTTATATTAGGGCAAATTAGTAATTCAATAAATAGTTTGGTAGTAGGATGTACTAAGTTAATTTTAGGGTTCGTTTAGCAGCACTCTTTAATTATGATTCAAATCCAATAATCCATCAACTTAACAAATTAAATCAAATTTAAGTTGGTCGTTTCCGATGATGATTTGATTCAATATATAATATAAATTTTACTTCTTATGTATGTTTGATTTTTTGGAGAATGGTGTATGTGTGTAAAGAGTTTCTTTACTAAAATAAAAGGTACCAGTTTACTAATGGGAATTTTATTTTTTTCGAGTCTATAAATATTTCTGAATCTAATCCATTTAAGTGTCCATTTCGTTTGCATATTGAACTTTATGGGAATTAAATTCTCATGTCTAATCTCACAAGATGAGAATTGAGGATGTTCATTTCCGTGTTTGGGAACGTTGAGAACTAGGAAATGTCATTTTCTCCTATTCTCATGTTTGCTTGTCTTCTTCTAAGGCTTCTAGAGCCATTGAATTTTAATACTCTTTTCATAAATTTTGATGGGATTTTCACAAATAGACCTATTCCAACATGACATTTTACACACCCTTAAAGAACCTATGTGGAGAAAAAAGCCCTCAATTAACCGCTTGTCATTTTCTAATTAGTTTTTAATGCATTACAATTTTTTCACTTGAAACTTGCAAATACAGCATAGAGTTTTTCTAAAGTATTTGGACATGAAGGGTTTTTTTATATATAAAATGTCATATTATAATGAGTCTGTTTATAAAAAGTTCAATTTTGAAACTCCACCTAATTATATTGTTAGGTTTTTTTAATATATTAAATCATGTCTTTTGGGGCAAAGATGCTGGTTTTTTTCCTCCAATTACTGAAATATTTCAAATTGGACAATTTTCCCACTATATCGTTCATAACAAGGTCCTTGGGCACTAGCGGCCAATACAAACTTCACATGTAAGCAAAACGCACGTGACATTTTGACAACGGAAGATTTTATTTGATATGGTAATTACTTCTACTCTTACTGTCTGATCGTTCAGACCTACGAAACAACACGATCAATTTGTAAGAGGCTCATAAAGCCGGAGTGATGCAAGTGCCTTGCCCTTGAGCTTTGTCTTGGTGTCAATGTACTCACTCCAGTTGGTGACGGGTGGGTAGAGGGCAGGGTGGCTTGCGCTCAGTAGTTTTGGTATGGGTGAGATTGGGACATTGTCTGGTGGTCCATAAGTATAAACAACTGATAGACGTTGCTGAGTTTGGTTCACCAGTACCCGATGGAGGACACTCACATACGACCCGTTAGATAATATGTGCATGAGGTCACCGACGTTGACTACCATAGCGCCGGGAACCGGTGGAACCGTAAACCAACCGGTGCCCTCTTGGAAAACTTGCAAGCCACAGATCTTACTTTGGTGGACAATGGTGACAAGGGTTGAATCAGTATGGGGAACAAGACCCATGACCCGATCCGGATCAGGACAAGCAGGGTAAGAATTCAACTGGAGGACATGTGCCTCGTGGTTATCACCTTTGGGGCCAGACCATTTGACATCTTCCTTGGATATACCTAATGAGGCAAGCATTATCCACATCAGCCTAGAGGAAAGCCTTCCCAATTCTTTATCATATTCTTCGGTAATAGAACTGAAAAAGAAAATCAATACGTTGGTTAATGCAAAACAAAGATATGCTACATATAGTATACAATACTTAACGTAACAAGTAAGTTCAAACCCTAAACCTTGAATCGTAATCTTTGCTAATTAGATAATGTATGTTATATGGTATGAAAAATGCATGGAGACATGTTGTTACGTTTCGAGAACATGTCGATAACATGTCGAGAGCGCCTTGATGCATTATTAATATGTCAATAATATATATATCAAGAGTACATGTTAAAATCATGAATTAAAAATAATAATAAGTTGTGTGTGTGAGTACTGTGAGTACCAGATTTTGGTGTACCCTTGGGGCCAAAGTTTGGCATAATGTTCAAGTGGTGAACCAAGAATAGTGAAGCACTCAGACCAAAGTTTCTTATCCAAAAAGGCAGATACGAGGTGGAGGCCGTAACCAGAAATGCCACCGGGTCCTCGGGCTACTTTGAGCTTTTGTTCGGCTGGTAGAGAGAAGAGGCTTTGAGCAACAGATTCCATGTCTTCAACCACATTGTTGGGGACGCCATGATTTATGAGTTGGAACACACCCCAAGTCCTGCATGCATGGCTTATGAGTTGGGAGGCATTTGGGTCATTTAGATCAATGATGGGCACAGAATCTGAGTCCAAAGATGGATGTTCATTGAGGTTTGTCCATGCATACTCTTCTGGTATCTCATGCAATGACTTGAAGTCATCTGGTACCTTTCCCAGAATAACATCGAAAGTTTTGGGGTTGTGAGCATCAGGGGCTGTTGCAGTTGGAGCCATTGTTAGAGCAAATGTTGAGAGAGAGAGAGAGAGAGAGATTGTTCTTGGATGTAATTTTTATGCATTTAGTGCGTATATATATATAATGATGCTGCCAAGCTTACCCAAACATCCCAGCCTAACCACCCCCACCCCAAAAGAGATTAGACGTTGCGGGAAAAAAAATAAATAAATAAATAAAAGAGTGAGAATGATAAGTTCAAAAAAAGAAAATTAAATAAAAGTTGACTATTGGATTTTGGTTTTTTGAGAGAAAGTAGGCTCTCTCTCTCTCTCTCTCTCTCTCTCTCTCTATTGGATCAGTTTCATTGTGCATGCATAAACTTAAAAGGGAGAGAAAATGATGAAAAATTAAAAGAGAGGATCCAAAAGGAGAGAGTAATGAAAATGTATAAATGAGTAGCAGCTGAATTGATGAAAAAGAGGGAAGAAAATGATTAAAATAAATAAATAAGAAAATAGGTTGGCAGATTAAAAAGGAGCAAAAATGATCAAAAAGTAAATGAGAGTATGCACATCCGTCAAGTAAGAAGAAGTTGACAGTTTCATTAAAAAGGAGCAAAAATAAATGAGGAGGAGCCAAAAGCAGTTTGATTCAAAATGAGAAAAAAAAAATGATGAAAATGAAAAAAATAAAAAAGAGACACATGCTTTAAAGACTGTTTTGTTTTAAAAGAAGACTCCATCTCTTTATATATACTCGCTATGCACGAGTTCCTTCCCACACAACTCTCCCTCTCTCTTCTTTCTCCACACATAGCAATTAGCTTTGTTTGTTTCTCTCTCTCTCTCTCTCTCGCGTCAGCAATATTACTGAAGAATATGAAATGGAGATGAGAAGGCTTGGCTCTAGGCTAATGTGGCTAATGCTTGGCTCATTTGGCGTATCCAAGGAAGACATCAAATGGGCTGCTCCAAAACGTGAATTTGAATATGCATCTCCTGTCTTACAATTGAACTCTTACCCGGCTTGTCCGGATCCGGATCGGACCATGGGTCTTGCTCAGCATACTGATTCAAACCTATTGTCAATCGTGCACCAAAAGCAACACCAATGGCTTGCAAGTTCTCTGTTAAACATTAATGCACATTTGAGAGAGATTTCTACAAGACAGCAGAATTTTCTAGAATAATATAGAATGAAAAGTCAGTGGTTGTATTCCCTAAACACTAGTTAATGAAGCTAGTAGAAAGCTCTAGTTGAAAACCACAATATATGGCTGAAATTACTTAGACAAAGTCGGTTACTGTGCAAACCGACCTAACTAAGCAAAAAGCCAACTTTGAGAGTCGGTTTAGCTACTCTATATATAGCTATAGCAGCCCAATTATGTATTCAAGTTAGAAAGAGCTCAATAACTACAGCTGTCCAAATCCCCATCAACCACCTCTTGTATCCAACTATCTCTAAAGCTCTTGTACCCTTCTTATTTTAATTAATAAAATATAATTATCTTGTTACTCTTTCAAAAGCTTTCTATTCATTATCAAGCTATTATCCTAAGCCTCTCTTCTTCCTAGAACTAACAGTGGTATCAGAGCTTGTTCCGATCAACCTTGGACGTTGGTTCACTACTCCTCCATCATGTCTACCACTAGCCAAAACTCTGACCCTCTTCCTATTTTTATGGGAGAAAACTATGATTTCTGGAGTATTAAAATGAAGACCTATTTTATGTCTCAAGATTTATGGGACATAATTGATAGTGGCTTTAATAATCCAGAAAACCCAACTGTGGAACAAAAAGATGCAAAGGCCTTATATGCCCTACAACAAGCCTTGCATGATATGATTTTTCCAAGAATCATGGGAGTCACAACTGCAAGGGAAGCATGGAATACCTTAAAGGAGGAATTTCAAGGCAATGCCAAGGTACGTGCAGTTAAACTACAAACTTTGAGAAGAGAGTTTGAAAATATTAAAATGAAGGATTCTGAGACCACACAAGACTATTATGCTAAAATAAAAATAATAATTAATCAATTGAGAGCCTATGGAGAAAATATTAATGACTCAAGAATTGTAGAAAAAATACTTATTAGTCTTCCTAATAAGTATGATCATTTAGTTACTGTCATTGAACAGACAATAGATTTAACTAGTCTGTCAGTGACAGAACTAATCGAAGCATATGAAAAAAGACTGAGTAGGTGAAATGAAAATTCAGTAGAAAGTGCCTTTCAGTCAAAACTAAATTTAAGGTCTCAGAAAACTAAAGAAGGGGAAAGGAAAATTGGAGAAAGTTCTAGAAGAGAAGATTATAAATTCAATAAGAATTGGGGAAATAAAAAAGAAATAAAGGGAAGAAAAAACTATCCTCCCTACGGGGTGTGTAAAAATACAAACCACCTAGAAAAATATTGTTGGTTCCGTGGCAAGCCCAAATGTCGAAATTGTAAAAAAATTGGGCACATAGAAAAAGACTGTCGAACCAAGAACTATCAAGCCAATTACTCAGAAAAAAGTGAGAAGAATGAACATGTGTTTTATATTAATCAAGCCACACCAGAAGGAACCAATAAGAAATGGTATATTGACAGCGGCTGTAGTAACCACATGACTGGAGATGAAAGTATCTTTTCCAACATAGATAAGTCAGTAAAATCACAAGTAAAACTGGAAAATGGAACACTGGTGGAGACAAAAGGAAAAGGTACAATCTCTATTGAAACTAATAAAGGAACTAAATATATAAAAGATGTTCTACTGGTACCTAGCCTGGAGCATAATCTATTAAGTGTTGGACAAATGATTGAAAATGCATACTCTCTGCACTTTTCTGGAGACTCCTGCACAATATTCGATAAAAGAAATAAAAATCATATAATAACAAAAGTAAAGATGGAAAATAGAAATTTTCCTATCCAATGGCAACTTGTAAAAGCCACAGCCATGAAAGCAGAAGTAGAAGATTCATGGTTATGGCATAAAAGATTTGGCCACTTTAATTTTTATGCACTAAAAACTCTTTATCAAAAGAATATGAT